GTGGCGACAAGATCTACGGCCACAAGGAGTGCTAAAGTACAGGAAAAGAACAAGACAAAGAAGAGAGTATATTATAAAAAGGTAGTGTACGATGGATGTGAGTTTGGGGTCGGAGATGATGTATATGTGAAAAGGAGAGAAGATGCAAGCTCGGACAATGAGGACCTCGAAATGGAGGAATGCAGAGTGTGCTTCAAGGCAGGAATGAGCGTGATGATCGAGTGTGATGATTGTCTAGGTGGGTTTCATTTGAAGTGCTTGAAGCCACCACTGAAAGAGGTTCCGGAAGGGGATTGGATTTGTGTGTTCTGTGAGGCCCAGAAACTGGGCAAGCAGATTGAACTTCCAAAGCCACCAGAAGGGAAGAAGCTGGTTAGGACTTTGAGGGAAAAGCTCCTTTCCAGCGACTTGTGGGCTGCCCGGATAGAGAGGTTTGATTATTTTCCCTTGATGGATGGAAAACTGTGTTTCATTTTTGGTTTACCTGCCTGTTGATAGAGATTAATGGGAGTCTTTTTTTTTGGACATATGCAGTTTGTGGAAAGAAGTAGATGGTAGCTATTGGTTCCGTGGTCGATGGTATATAATTCCAGAAGAAACTGCTGCTGGAAGGCAGCCACATAACTTAAAGAGAGAGCTTTATCGAACAAATGATTTTGCTGATATTGAGGTTATGGATTTTTTTTTTTTGAAATTGCTTATTTGCTAACATTATGTCAAATACAGGAGTATTTGTGACCCTTGGATGGATTTATTCTTTTAGGGAGACTTTTCTTGTTTGATCATGTACTTATATGTTGGATGGTTGTTATGTTCTTGTTCTTGAATTAGTTTGGTGCTTGAATTTACTTACTTTATGCCTGATTTTGTAGTTAAATCCATTATTTTTGTTATTTCATTTTGTTTGGTTACTGCCAAGTCCTTAAAGTTGTATTTTAAAGCAGATAAGAAAATGCGCTTAAGCACATTAGTCTTTCTTTTTAGAATTTGAGAAAAAAACTAATCATCCTAACTTATATTAGATAGACTTTTCTAGAACTTGAGAAAAACTAATAATTATACAAGTCAATTATATTAAAATTATGAGTTCAAATCATTTCATCATATTTTAGTCAAAAAATAATTTCAACTAACAACACTTTCCCTACCTTCTTTAGCACCTTAGTGAAATGATTTGTGGCTTGTGGGGACCTATAAATGCAATTTAAAGTAAGAGAATAAAAAAAAAGAGAAGAGGGACTTGGAATTTTAAAATCTTTTTTATTGTTATATATCTCTAGAGAAATATTCTTCCATGAAAAAGATATCTCATGGAGTTATAATTACTCATGGTAGAAGCGAACCATGCATTAAGGGCTAACTAACTAATAAAATAATGTGAAGATAAATATCAAATAAAAGCAATGGCTGACTATGTACTCTTCCAACGAAACGATTTTATGTTAGAAGTGGACATCTGAACTATCAAATTAGTTAGTGATATTATAAACCCCCAATAGAAGAAACAATGATATTTCATAAAGTTTTACTCCCAAGGAGTGCTTGATTTGGAAGCAGGAAATTGAAAGCCAAAAAACTAAATATTCCATTGATATTGAGAGAGACAGGAAGAGAGTCTAAATCTTGATAAAATGTACATCTCGATTCCAAATCTGAATTAATTAACTACTAGTACAACATTTATATACCAAAAAATATGTACTAACCTCCTTATGTCCCTCTCTACATTGTATATATTCCACATGATCTTCACAAAAAGCATATCCCAGTTATTTGATTTATCTGATCGAGTTTTGGTCAATGACCAAAATACCCTTTGCCGCTCCATAAGAAATATGCATGAAATGTAAGAATTTCATCTTATTCCTGCAGACCTTCCTAAAATTATCTATATATGGGACAATCATATGTAAGGAACCAACACATAAAACCCAGAAACCTAAGCCTCAAGGGTAGTTTTATAACTCAAAAAAAACATATAAAATTTTCCTTTTGTATGGTTTCTATGGCTAGGTTGTATATATGTAGGTAGAATTGTTTTTTTGGGGAAAAGGAAGGGTTAAGAGGGTAATTTAGCCACAAAGCTAGGTTATTCAACTTGAAAAATCAAAGGGAAAGGAAGAGACATCCTTCATCAAATCCTCCAAGTCCCATTCCCCATCTTCTCCTACCCAAAAATTCCCAGCCCCTGTCATATTCTCGGTAATTTTGTTGTTAACATATGTATTTTCAGTTTTAGGGTTTTGTTCTTCAATGCTTATACTCTCCAGAGGAGGGACATAGTCTATCCCCATCTCAGCACCTCCAAACACCCCATTCTCCCCATAGAAACGATCGGTTACCCCAACATGTGCCATGCTCGAACCTACCGGAATATTGAAGTACCCATTGGAACCAAACATCATGTTCATGCCGTGCTGATGAAACATCGGTGAGGCATCTCCGGTACCAGCGCGATTCAGGGCCGTGGATTGCATGAACATGGGCACGAACCCTTGTTCTTGCATAGACACGAAACCTCTGGTGCCGACGATGGCCTGGTGATCTTTAGCCTCCGACGACGATGAGTCACTCGTGTTTGGTGATGGTACGGTTGAATTCTTTAGCCTTTTCTTTATGGTTGAATTCCAAAAGTTTTTGATTTCGTTGTCTGTCCTCCCCGGTAAACGAGCCGCAATTTGGGACCACCTTTTCAGCAAAATTAAAGAAATTAACAACAGTCAGTCTTCAGTTTCAAAAAGAAAAACAACAGTCAGTCTTCATGTGATAATCGAAAGGCATTTGTTTTGTTTCCTATGTATCATATACATATATAAATTGCATGGTTTTTATTTTGCATGGATGCGTGACTTCTAAAAAACATATGTATGTCAAAACATGGAGTAGTGTCAAAGATTCCTAAATATGATCACAAGTGTCTTCTCATGGAAACTTATGAACCAAACAGTATATATGCATTGCATGAAAACTTAATTAATTCAATCCAAAAAATGAAAAGTTTTTGAGTATCTTTAACTCAAAGGTTTTGTGTCTTCAACAAAACCTAACCTTATAATTAGGACCCTAATACCCTACCTTATCCACTTGCCTAGCTTAGCTTACTCATTTTCAATGTTAATGTTGGATCTATATATATTGGGGTGTAAAACAAAGAAAGTAATATATATATATATATGCTTAATCCCATAAATTAAAGAAGAAAACATGCTTAATTATCATAACTCATAAGCGTAAACAAAATGCATGCTTAATTTTCATAATTGAACATATTCTTTTGACCTTAGGAATATGAATGTGTAATTAAGGATTGCAAATTAATATATATCCCATTTCCAAAAAAAAGGAAAATATATGTTGGCAAATTAAGAGAAGGGGTAAGTGATGAATTACCCTGTTTTCATCAAAATTTTGAGTGGTGCTTAAGAGTAGAAACTTAGGTTTTTTTCTTCTTTTTTTTTTTAATCACAAATATTATGTCTACCAACAACTACCTCTAATTTAAAACCCTTAACATAAGGCTTTATGGTTCTCACATGGGCTTAGCCACCAACCAGAGTACCATAGAAGCTTCAAAATTTTCCTCCTTTAATTATTAATTTCTAATATTCCTTAAAATTAAAAAAATTCACACCAAAGAAGGAAAAAAAGTTAGTAACCATATGATTTAACTGTTAAAAAACAATGGATAATTGATAATATAGTTAATTTTTCTTCTTTCTTGAACTGTGAAATATGTATTAAGGAACAAGTGATATAGCTGATAATAGATAAACCAAAATTAAATTAAGAACAGTTAATCTTAATTAATGTGAAAGACCTGTCAAGGACCATACCCAAAAAAGTTGTTAGAAAAGAAAATTAATTACCTAATATCTGAAGACTAATTAATTCTAATTAGAAAAAGAATGGATTTCATATAATAATTTTATTATTCTGTGCTGACCTGTTGCCTAGAATGGAATGCAAATGGATGATGAGCTCTTCCTCTTGGGGCGAGAAGGCGCCGCGCTTGAGGTCAGGCCTGAGGTAATTAATCCACCGGAGACGGCAGCTCTTCCCGCACCGCAGCAGACCAGCATTTCTGGCCACGTCACTCCAGCAACCTTGACCGTTGTTCAGCATGTAGTTCATGAGCTTGTCATCCTCCTCTGGCGACCACAACCCCTTCCTGAGCTTGGTGGCGCCGCCACCAATGCTCTTCCCGGCAGAAGGATCCGGCTTCCTCATGATAATTTGATTTGTTTTTTGTGGGTAGTAATTTTGTTCTCCCAACTGGTTTGATGTGGATTAGTTGAGACTTTATAGAGGCGAAGAAGGAGAGGAGGGGGTTGATGGAGTGCAAATGCTGATGATCATCATGATGATGATGGCTGTGGGCCGAGTTTGCTTAGAACATTGGGAAGAGAGATGGAGAGATGGAGAGATGAGTTGGTTGATGGGTCTAAAACGGTTTGGAGAAGGACATCTCTGAGGGTGGAGGCATAGTACTTTTGTCTTTGACCAATATTTTAATCCCCTTAATGTTATTGTGATATAAAAAAAAAAATCACCTTGTTTTTTATTTTTCTATCAAGTCTCCTTTATTTATCATATATAAGAATACCAAAGTCAAATTAAATGTATACCATTAAAATAGTACAACTAAATTAGCAGAGAGCACTTGCCGACACTAATCATTGAAGAGTTGCATTTTTTTTTTTAAATAGGTTTTGAATTCATCCCATATCAAAATGTTTAAATAAAAGAAAAAAACTAAATTATCAAAGAGGTCCGTTTCAAAAAAAAAGAAAAAAAATTAGAAGAGAGGTATAAAATTTGACAAACATTTCTTTTTATTTGAGTTCTCTTAAAAATTAAACTTTTGGGAAAGTGCGAAGAAGTAACATCCTAACAAATCAAAAATAACTTTTTGACAATCTTGGTGACATAATGCAAAAGTAGTTTTAAACGGTCAATTTTGAGTGGATTAATGGTAATATTCCTTTAACAAAATAAATAGTTTTGAATTTAAGACATAAGTATATAAATAAAGTAAATAAAAAAATTAAAAAAATATATTATTTTTAATTGTGTAAATTAAAAATTGGAAAATAATTATTTTAAATAATATTTTAATAAATAAAATAAATTAATTAATAGAAATCTACTTATTTTATATAATGCATATTTTTCAATATTTTAAGTCCACATCAAATAGACCAATTTAATTGGAAGTTGCAATTTTTTTTTCCTTCACGCACAAGGTAATGATTAAAAAAAAAAGACAAAAAAAAAATCAAAAGAATTAATTTAATTAAATATAATATTTATTTTTATTACCAACCCTCTTTTTTTTCTCCAAACTTTTTATTATCAACTCGAAGCCCAAGATATTTGCTTCCACTTCACATAATCTCTTCTTTCCCTTCCCCTCCCCTCATGACTCCAACACGTGTATTGCAAGATACACTATATAAATGGAAAATAGTTTCTGATGATACACGTGGCGCATACCCATTAAGCTAAAATAATCCCACTTCTGTCGGTTCGGTGTTGACATGACTTGGGTTTCCTGTTTATCTTAAAAATTAAAATATTAATTTGATTTCTTAATTGTTAAATTTATATTAAAATTATTTTTAAATTTTAATTTTTAATATTTAAACAGTCATTTTGTTAATGAAAATATTATATGAGTTATTATCTTATCACAAAATTAATAATTTTTAAAATATTAATAATATATAAAATTAAATAATTATATTTTATTATTGTGACATATTTTTTATTTATATGTCAAATTAATATGTAATTAAAATTAAATGATTAAATTGATATTTTTAATCAAAATTAAAAGATTAAATTAATTCTTATCTTCAAAATTTCAGGTTAAATTAATACTGAATTAAAATTTATAAATTATTTTGATATTAAAAATTAAAATTTAGAGATAATTTTGATGTTTTTTAAAATTTAAAAATAATTTTAATCTAAATTGAAAAGTTAAAGGAACAAATGTGTATATTAATCATGTTAATTCAACCAACGAACTATTGGTCATAATAGAAGGAGTTCGGTTCTCCTTAAATAAAATTTCGAGTTCAATTATTGTGAATGGAGAAATAGGTATTGGGAGAGTTTCCCGCCTAATGAGGTCCGACGCAACTCGATTCCAGATTAGTCGGGACCCAAAATAATTATCAGATATTAAGAGATTAATACAAAAAAAAAATCATGTTAATTCAAACCCTTATAGATTTTTTTTTTTTTTTTGAAGATAGGCAATGATCAAACCCTTATAGATAATCATGTGGAAAATTAAGGTGACAACTGACAAAAACAGTGCTAAAATTATTTCTCTAACTAATTAAATCTGTACGATCTAGAAGGTGAAGAATCAACCTCGTGTACATTATGTTTTTCTAAGTTTCTTCTGTTTAGGTGTACTATATAGAAAAAATTTTTACCTTACAAAACAACACAAATGAATGCAATCTTCGAGTCACTTTATATAATAATCATAATAAAGGATACGTACTATATGTATTTAATATATCAAACAATAATAATTTTTTAAAATAAATAAAAAAATTAAATTTAAATTATAAAACATATAAATAAAATAATTAAAAAATAAATAAAAATTATTTTTATTATATAATTTAAAATTAAAAATTATATCAGTCCAATATCTAAAATTAAATCATATGTATTAGGTGTATGTATGAACAAAATGCACATGTAAAACATTTGCCGGTTTACTAATTAAATATTACCCGGCCCTTACACTTACTTCCCAAAGAAAAAATGTAAATCAAAGGCCGTGTTGAAGATGCTTAGACTTCTTGGATCCCCTTCAATGGTTTACTTATGGTCATGGGCCACATGTTAGGTTTTTAAAATTAATTTGAATTAGATGTTAGGAATCTTAGAAATTGGGATGAAGTAAACGGCTTTCTTTTGCCTTCAATTTCCAGCCATTGACATATTTTGTACAAACTAATTAATAAAGAAAGATGATGATCATTAAAAAGTTAGGAGACTGAAATTATTGAAAAGAAGAAAGAGACGAAAGAGCAGGTCCTTGACATTTTCTTAATTCTAATTGCACTTTTTAGAAGCAAGGGACCAGGAGATGTTACTCCCTTTCTCTCTAATTTTTTTTTTTCTACAAATGATCTAGAACGTGGGGGAAATGAAAATGGTATAAACCAATAAGATGCCACCGTCTAGAATGTCGGAGCAAAGAGGAATCAATTCTTATCTGCAATATAACACGTCTCAATGTCACATTGGCAAAACCCAAAAGCCATGGATCGATTATGCATAATTTGCAAGCCACTAACTTTGGGTTTATCTAAGCTTTAACACAATCACATCAACATTTCCCTCACTATCCTATGAAATTGTCTCTTTTTACGGTAAAAATTAGACCCACAATGTATAGATTAAAAGTAATTAAGGTGATAACTAATAGCAGGATACTAATACACTCTACATTATCGTATGAAATTGTCTCTTTTTATAATAAGAATTAGACCCACAATGTATGGATTAAAAGTAATTAAGGTGATAACTAATAGCAGGATACTAATACACTCTACAATATATTTATTAAAAAAATGATTATTTATTGATTTATAATTAAAGGTAAAAATATTTACATTTGTAATCATACATATAACATTGAAGAATGAGTTGAATTAATTACACCTATATTATATTTTAATAATCGAATTGAGTAGCTATCGACAAATATATTGAATTAAATAATCTATCAATTATTTTTCCTAACAAAAATGTTGTCGCTTTAACAATTACTTCAACTGCTTCAACTGGTTGGAGGATGTACTTTTCAAGTTCGTAGACTGTGATTTGGGTTTGAATCCATCTCTTTCAAAATGGTAAGTAGCTCTTAGGAAAAAAAGGTCCAAAGCCCTGTTTGCACCCTATATATTTTTTGTTTGCCCCCTATGTATTTTTTCTTTTCATGGTTAACTCTTTAATATAATTTTTGTCCCGTTCAACATCATTTACTATTCAATATATGTGAAAAACTTAAAAATTAATGATCAAATCCTTTATTTACACCTTAAATTTATGGTTAAATCTTTTATTTACACCTTAAATTTATGGTTAAATTTTCTATTTGTACTAAGATTTTGTTAATAATTTGAGAATTTTATACATATTTTAATTATGTAGGGTGTTGATTGGGATGAAAATTAGTTTAAAATGTTGACTACAAAAAGAAAAAAAAAAAGTGTATGGTGTAAATAGGGAGTTTGATAAAAAAAATATATTGTTTTTTTTACACACAATGGCTAGAAAATAATTTCACGTATATTTATTGTTTTTCAATATGGTGCGTGACAACATGTATATCATCTCTTGAATCTAAAAGTTAGTAGAAAAGAACGTTTCAAAAAAAAGTTAGTAGAGAAGAAAAGTCCAAAAGTGTTTAAAGAGAGTGATGAAAAGCTAAAAGGGCAATCAATTTGATATTTTCATGTTGGAATTTGGAAGTTCCCATATATACAAGTGTGAATGGGGGGAGAAGTTAAAAGAGATTCCAATCTGTGTTACCAATAACTACTCATGAAATCCCTTTGAGTGTGGCAATTAGGGATTCGTTCATGATTTTTTTTTATCAAGTAATTAAAATGTTTCACGGCCAAAACATCACAGTCAAATCACTGCTCTGCTTTTTATCATTTCGTTAAAACACATCATATTACATATGACTTCAAATAATCTCATCATTAATGACAGTAAAATAAATTAGTTAAGAACTTAAGTGCAATTCCACCTGTGAGAAAAAGCTAAAAGCATTGGTTGAGTCAGAAAAACAACATTGAAACCTATAATTTCTTACAAAATTATATGGTGAAATCTTAATTTAATGGTTAAAAAATTAATAGTGAATACAAGAGATATTGGATTCTTGTCTTAAATTCCAAATCTTCCTATATCTGGAAATTAGGTAGTGAAATATTATTTAATAGAAAAGTAATTGATATGCATTCAGTTTAATATATTTTTTGATATTTATTTCACTTTAATTATTAAAAAATAATATAAACAATCAATTTAATTGATTCATACATCTTATATATATATATATGATTATATCTTTAAACTTATTTATTTTTAATTTTATACAAAAAATAATAATTTTTAATAATTATATAATATGTTAAATTAAAATATGTACAAATTATTAACTTATCTAATAGACCTAGCTATAAGCATATTAGATAGTGAAGATAACGAAGAGCATTCAACAATTTCTCTATGCTTTTCTCCCCACTGTTGGATTGGCAAAGGAATGCTTTGTCCTTACCTGGGAGTTTTAGATATTTTGCTAACTAATAGGCAAAGATGCCTTTAAATTTGATGAAACCCTGGTAATGGAATGTGCTGAGATGCCCCCATCATTAATTTTTGAAACAGTCTTCGAAATGGAGGGCTAAATGGGTAAGACTTCATCAGCATACACATCATTATGACTCCGTCCAACACCCAAAAATAGCCAATGAAAAGGCTAGATGCATGCTGGTGGACCATCTAAAATGAATACAAGTTATGCATTTGTCTCCTTTCTGGCTTTCTACACATTTTACTTTGAATTTGGAATACGCAAATTCCATTTCAATTATTTGATTTATTTCTTCTCCTTTCTTTTTAGCTGGTAGATCAGACATGATAATTTTTTCCAAATATTGTTCCTTGTGTACAAAAAAAGATTTCCAACTTTCAACTAATTCCACAAGAATGACATATGTGGAGTGCGTGACCACAATTTTAAGTCAATTATTGATAGTATAAAAATAATTGTGTATCTCATAAGTAGTGGTCAATTCCTACAGTCCTACTGCCATGAAGATTTAATAAGACTTTAAATTTTCATATTAAAATTTATAATAATAGAGAATATAATGTAAATACTAATTAACTAAAAAGGTAAGTACATATCAATTTCAATTTTTTTTAAAAAAATTAGAATTTCAATATATATTTAAAAACTAACATTTTAATTTAAAATTCAGAAATT